CACACCATAATTAATCATCGTCAGTTCGCGTCAACCTGTACTGACGGAGTGCACCTCGTTTTGGCGAACGGAATATGCTTGTTAGAAAACGACCAAACTTTCAAATGCACAAGTGTGGCCCAGGGCGCCCCTCTTTAGCTCATTCCTTCCATTTTGAGCGGCCTGAAATCGAGGGTCCTTTGATAACGCGGTTTGCTTTGGGGATTAAATGTGCACTTTCTGCCACCATTCAGTCTATGATGGGTTCGGAGTAGTGTTTGAACATAGGCCTGCTCGACTCCGAGCCCAACGCATTTCCTCCCACAGAAAGGATCGGGTTAAGGCCCCAAATATCTGTTGCAGGCAAAGAATACCTACTATCCTTTTTTAATTGGGTTTTAATCTAAAACGATTATTTTGGCTTGGTGTTTCATCGTACAAGGTTGGGTCGTCTACTGTAGGCGGTCTGGTGCATTATCTACAATTACCTCAGCTCAGTGACTTAAGAAGCGATCGCTGTAAAAACTCGATGTTTAGTTTTTTAATTGTCCTGCTTAATGTCGGCTGCTATATGTCAATGCATTAAACCTTCCCGCACAAAACAAACAAATCTATACGTATTTTGCCATTCCTCTATGCATACATACGATTCGCCCGTAAAACCCCTATCACCACGTTTTCCAGTATGACTGGTTGTGTGTGTGTGTGTGTTTGGGGTCCTTTACCCGATTGTTGCCCCTCCCACCCTCCCTCCCCTTCCCATCTACCAACAGGAACCGACCGGCGCTAGTAGCGTGGTCGATACCTTGAATTTGGCCTCACCGGTATTGCGGATCATCATCCGGCGTATATTTGTGCTGCGCAGTGATTTGTCTGCACCACGACATTGCTTGGGGTCGGCATGTCGCCCAGGCAGTTGCGGCAGAACCTCAGCAATCACACCGTAATTAGTCTTTTTCAACTCTCGTCAACCGGTGCTGGCCTTGTGCATTTTGTCTCCATGAACAGAATGTGCTTGTTTGAAACCGGCCCTACCTGACAAATGAAAAGTGTCAGATCATGGCACTGCATCGCAGCTCATTCCCTTCCTTTTATTGAGCCGGAGTCAGAGGCTCCGTGATACTGAGGCTTGCCTTTGAGGATGACCTGTCTGCCATCCTTCGGTATCCGATGGACTCGGTGTAGTGTGTGAGCCTAAGCCTGCTCGACTTTGAGTCCCACCCTGCTCCTCCTTCCCATCTGCCTGTAGGAACTTGTCGGCCGATGTGGGCTGCTGGCGAACCTCCGGCGTCTGCCACCCAGATGACGTTTTCATCGTTAGCGATGGACCTGCCAGGCAAATCATCCTTGACTCGGTAAACAGACTTGGTGGAATATGCTGCAACAACCTTGAAGGAAAAATATGCAAACGAAGCATGAGGGAGAACAATGAATAACCGGCGGACAATTTAGCCGGTCGGCGGCTTTAGAATAATTTCAGCTGTTCAAGTTAAGTTGCTGCCCTTTTCCACGTGAGCAAGCGCCGTCGTCCGTTTATTGGTTAACTCGTGATAAAATGGTAAGGCAAAGGAGAAATTTAAGTAGAAATAGTAACATGTAAGAAGTGATGACGACTGTACAAACGACAGTGCGTGAAACTGGCGTGTTGTTGTTGTTGTTGTTGTTGTTGTTGCTGTTGTTGTTGTTGTTGAGGTTATGGACGCCAATCAGCATGGCTGGCTGCCCATGCTGCGTATCTAATGACGCCGAAGTTTGCGAACCGCGAGTCAAAGCGGACTGTGCGACTGAATGCAATCAAGTTCTTTCTATCTGAATTCACACTTCAACTGTGTACTACAGTCCACTCCCGATAGTCGCGGAGTTCAAGCACCACAGCTATCCGCGAACAGCTAAAAACTTTGAATAACTGAGACGCATCTGAAGACGCTCGTAACTGATTATTTTTATGTTAAAATGCCAAAAATAACTTACAGTCTCATTATATATCATTGTTGCGTTATATAAGTGGGATCTTACAACATTGCCCTTATGACTTGCGGTCACTCGAGAACGCACCTGCAGTTGTTACAATTACCAAGGCAAAACCTAATCAAGTTACCCTTATATTCACTTTTCAGGAGTATTCAAGCTTTACCGTTTTCGTATGAAATTCGACCTTCGTTGCCGACGATGCCCACCGTGTGCTCCGCTGCAAGGTGAGGGCAGGTACGGTGACATGCGAGTGAATCAGTTTGAAGTGATAGTAGACTTGCGCCTCGTCTACCGCACTCCATCTCCCATTCCTCCTCCTCCTCCCCCTCATCCTCATCCTCCTCCTCAATATTATCCCCTTCCGCACCCTCACACTCCTCCTCCACCAACTTTACCACCTCATTGAAGTTTTGCTGATTCTTCTCTGTTGATTTTCTCGAAGGCCGAGAGCATGTGTGCTCGGGTGTGTGGATTCTCGATCTACTTTTTTTGGTCTGCAACAGATCGATTGATTCTCGCTGCACTTACAGTTAGAGGTAACCAATTGAGTGGGTTTACGCTTGCATGAAGTGGGCCTTCGACGAAAATGCTCCTTACACACTCATCGATTCAATAAGAGAATAATCGGCGTTGATTGCCGACGCCGCTAAATTCGTGCTTAAACTCTAACTCGGTTGTGCGGCGGCGATAGGTCATTTTGTGCAGGGTGTAGATGAGTTCTTTTTCGGGGCCAGAGAATGTGTTCAAACTCATTTCCAAACGGTATAATACTCCTTTTCCACGTGAGTACTCTTTCTGAAAGACTGTGCGTGGGGGGGGGGGAGTGGGGTCGATGTGCAAGAGTTTGACCCTTACTATGACGCAATTCACCTATTTGCTACAAATGTTTCCTCATTGCACTTGTGGCTACAATCCTACTCGATGGTGAACTTAGGAAGGCACAGGCGTCCTTTATTGCGCTGTCTATCAAATGACTAGGATTCCGGTCAGCGGACGACTTGCAGGATCCCGAAATTCACCATCTTCGCGGAATTTCAGACATCCGCGAACTCGATGCTTGACCAGGACATTGGTCGACGGGAAATACCTGCTCTGGCTCAACCTTCCTTAGGCAACATGTTGCTTGAAGAGACGCGCCTGAACATTTCTTGTAGTATTTAATCCAAAGAGGTGGTCGTATTCGAGGACACGGTCTAGCGTTCACTTCCTGACCTACCATAAGAAAAGCTGCGAACTCTGCACTAAAACTCCTGTAGCGCATGAACCATTTTCACCCCAATCTCCAGAATTAAACTGTGTTGCAGAAATGCCTGACCTTCAAAAAAAAGCATACTTCGATTCATGCAATATTATTTATTGCCTAAACGGTTCAGACTAAAGCCAACAGATTTTGGCGATGGTAGACTGGGATTATTTGCGTCACCTCACGCAGGCTGGGGGATCCCGCAGTCAGTGAGTAAATTAGACGTATTTCGCAAAGTCTTCCAACTCATTTATACCGATCTCCAAAGGACTTCCCGCTTATGTAATTCACGACTGTGGAACTTTTAATCTCTCGGCCAATCGACCTTCACATATTTGGCCCCAAAAGGCGGTTAGGTTAGAACGGTGATGGCACCTTGATGGAGCGTGTTAGACGCTAATTAATAAAGGTCAGTGCGGACCCAGTGCGCATTTCACCCAAAGAACAGAAGCATATGCTGTGTTAAAATAAATTTGCCTTTATTAATCTTTGTACATTTAAACCTTGACGTAGTGTCGAACACAAGAGACGTCGCACACTGTCATAGTCTGCAAAATGAAAAACAAAGCGATTTCTGAATGAGTTCGCATCTGGGGGAAATTTACGCAAGACAAAACACTGAGAACATGCTGACTAAACGGGATTCAAAATTGCATTAACTACCGGCATGAAGTGAATACAAAGAACCTAAACGTACGCCTGCCAAATACATGACTTGAGACTTCTGATCGTTCTTTTTTCACGACCATTGTAATAGCAAAATAGCCGCATGTACATTTCTCAACCAAATTCTAGGACTTCAAATATCGCCAATTGCAAGCTTCGTGAATTGTGAATTTCCATGGACAATCGTATTTCCCAAAGTCTACGCCCAAAGCATTTCCAAATCGACAGGCTCGCACAAAAGGCCTTATTGGGTGGCCCTGTTCATCTGTAAGTCACCATTATGGTGCGTGTAACAATCTCCAGCAAGTAGCTACCGCGGTGCCGGCTGCAATTCTCCCTTCACCCATTGACGACAGCCCAGCGAAACTTAGGTGAATGCACTGCGGTTGACACTGGCCTGGTGAGAGGGCTTGCTCCGACAGCTTACTGAGCTGCGGGTAAACTCCGTCGCCTCAGTTCAACTTCTCCATCTAGGTCTATTTCCTGCCTTCGGGCTTTGGCATCCTCGATATTTTTCCTAATGACAGGAGGACAGTTCTGCATAATCAGTGCTGGTGCTGTTAGGGACAGTCGACGCATCTGCACTGGAATGCCTTCAGCTACATATATGGTTAAGAACCACTCTATAGGTCCCACTGTTGATTGCAGGTCTTCGTCCTGGTAGTATGTCCCTCGAGAACTCTTAACGGCATTTTACGAGAGGAAAGTTGTGCATGATTAGGGCATCCTCGTATCATTTTCACTCAAAGGCAGGATGACTGGTTTGGACTCACCGTTGTTAATTTATTACCATCCACAACGCACTCAATGAGCATTGTTCTCTCCCCTTCCTGAGTAATTGTCAATTTGTTGCCCTCCAGTGTAATAGTCATCTACAAAGTATGTGAACACAAAATTATCGTCTATTTTGAATTGGCTCAGTCATCACACACATTTGCTTTCAAACTTGGCCGCCCAAATAATTGTGATGGTACGCTCTGAAGATCATATGCACGTATTGCCATATATAAACGTATGCATTAACTCAGGACGGGATGCAAAGAGATCCATTGGCTTCCCCACGCAAACAGGTTTCGCATGAGTTATGAATGGCTAGGTGAACGCAAAAGAGTCCGAATTTACTTCCAGCATATTTCCTCTCCACTCTGACTTATGCACATGCACATATACATGCATGCATATTAATTAAGTACGTATGTTTTAATTGTTCCACGAAAGTGAATACAAACCAGTTTATACTTTGAACTGCAACTCTCGCCAGAGTTTCACATTCGGGTGTTAATAAATCTGAATACAGGGAATTGGCTGTCCATTTGCTCTGGTCGAGATTAGTGGCGAGATTTAGCCTAGAAAACTGGCAAATTTAATAGCACCAATGTTACGGAGAGATGGCTCAATAAAAACACGTATGAAATATGAATGAAAGCTACGTCAGAATCTTGCCTTAATGGGTCGACCATCCATTGTAGTGTGTTGAAACTTCTCACCCAGCTTGAACTTCGTGTCGCGAGTCATAGGGCCCATTTTTACTTGCATGTTGTACTGGTCGGCGGCGGCACCTGGGGAGAATGCCAGGCTCGAATCCGACATTTGGGCCAATTTCTCCTTGGGTATTTCGGCACCCAGGCGTCTAGCTAACACACTCACGTCATCACTGCTTTCCAATTTCCACGATCCATAGAAGGCTTCCATGCTGGAGTAGCTTCAACGGAGACAGAGGATACGACGTCCTGCACGGTGTAATATTCAGCTGCTCAATATATATAGCCAGATGGGCCTGCAGCGACCGAGGGTGTGCGCTGCTTGCACGCTGATCGCGAGTGATTTTGCGTCCTTGAATCTGGCGCCACCGGCATTGTGGATCGTCATCCGGAGTATATCGGTGCCACGCAATGATCTGTCTGCACCGTAACATTAGGACCGCAAGTAGCCCAGGCAGTTGCGACAAAAAGCCAGCAGTCACAGCACAATTAGTCTGAATCAGTCCTTGTCAACCTGTACTGACCCTGTGCATTCCATATCTCCCATTCCTCCTCCTCCTCCTCCTCCTCCTCCTCCTTCTCCTCCTCCTCCTCCTTCCTACCTGTCTACATCAACTGGGCGGCCGATGTGGGCTGCTGGCGAACCCCCGTCCCCTGCCACCCTGATCACGTTTTCATCGTCAGTGATGGGCGTGGAAGGCAAAAACATGTCTTCTTTCCATTTTATACTCGAAGGAAGGGAATTATTCTGTTTCAAAAAGTTTTTAATTGTCCGATTTTAATACCGTGAAACAGGCAACGACAAAAACGACAGTCAAGTCCTTTTCGAGGTTGCTGCGGACGAAGCACGACACATCGTCGCCGATGCCTTTGGATCTTCCAGTGTCCTCGCGGTATGACGGAGGCTTGTGCAGAGTCGGAGGTGAGCTTGGGGGTCGGTTGGTCTTGCCAAATCTTCAGGAGACGAAACTCCTCTGAAAAGTTGGCAGCCTGCTCACGAACAAAGGCCTCATTCTCCTGAGAGGATGAGACAGCAGTCCGTTAAAAAAGGCAAAGGAAACAGAAGAACTCTCGTCAGTTCGTTGAAGTCAACGTCGTAGGCATAAAAGCAGACCATGAAATCCCGGCAAAAATGCGAAAACTTCAAAAAAGCGACTTCGCTTCAATCTCCTCGTGTTTGACCAGGTGTATAAATGCGGTTTCAAGCAGACCAGCTACAGCTACTTGTTCGGAAAGGTAGTAAACCTGTTTGGCGTAAGGAAAAGAAGAAACCTATGGGGAAGTAATGAGACAAACATATGCCCATCGAATTTTTTCCGTTAAAACAAACTAACTTCTTCTTCTTATTCTTCATTCATCAAACGGCTCAGGGATACCGTGGCTTCCCTTTGAGGATGGCCTGCACAATTTATACCTGATCTTCCTCCCCTTCCTCCTCCTCCTCGTCCTCCTCCTCCTCCTTCTCCTCCTCCTCCTCCTCCTCCTCCTCCTCCTCCTTCCTCTCTGTGTACAGGAACTGAGCGGCCGATGTGGGCAGCTGGCCAACCTCCGGTCTCTGCCACTTTGATCACGTTTTCATAGTCAGCGATGGATGTGGAAGGCAAATCCATATCTTCTTTCGGTAGCACAAATGTGGGTAGCCTGGGATTATGAGTCAATATTGCTGACGTACTTGTATCCTTTCAGTAGGCGTGCTTTTATTAGGTTACATACTTACAACTGCCGATTGGGTTAAGGAAGGGCGCTTATGCTGTAAAGTCTTTCGTGCTCTTGCTCCAACTATACTTGGTTTACTTGGCGTACAGGCTCCGTCAGGATGCCTTTCTCCTTCCCGTTAACCGCCCCGAGAACGAGACGCTGTAATACTGTCTATATAGGCTCATTGCATTGCACCCCCCTCCCACACGGAAATCTTCAGTAAAAGGCGAAATACTTAACCTTTCCGGATAACGATTCAACACGCTTTACAATATGCCTTTAACGTGTAAGTTGCTTCATTGGTACTAACAGGCTGCTACTCCCACTCCCCCTAACACCTACCGCCTTTACGAAACAGCCGCGTTGTGTCTGACCGATAGGGGTGGTGCTCCACATCGCGTTCCATGCGTTTACCGGGCGAGTTAGCAAGGCGCGTAGGTGTTGGGTGCGCTTAATCGATGCAGGTTTGCCCTTTGTGGCTTAGCCGTTCAGACGTTAAACGCGGCCGCTGACTTCGTGTGCGGTCTTCTAAGGCCGCTTGCCGTTTGCTTAGTTTGCTTTCGATTTGGTTCATCTCTCCTCCCTTAACTGCCACCAAGGCCGGGTCAGGAACGCCTACCCGACAATAGGGGTTTAGCTTTGCCTTGAACTATCACGGGTTCAGGTGTACGCCCGGGCGTCCGGATTTCTGTGTGGTCTCCTTCGGTCGCCTTATTCTTGCGCTACGGCCGATTCCGTTTGCCTGGGCGGTTGGGCGGTTTGGTCGCCTTGCGGGGACAGGTAGGTTTGCCCTATGCGCTTTCCGCTCCTTTTTTTCGGTTTGACGATTAGCGTACTTGCGACGTAGCCTTCGGATTGGTCAAGACAGGAAGGTTGTCTTCACATAGGCTTCCATCACTCCCATCAAACATTACGCATTCAATATCCGTTGGGGCATTTTTGGCTTAGGTTATGGGATTAAATGGGACCAAAAGTTGAGAGTTATAGTTAGGAATTCACTATTATTAAGCACAGTATAAAAGATTTACAAGCTTTTCCCGCAACATCCGTTCTCACTGGCCATTATGTACACTGTCCGGCCGTTCAGTTGTTTGCACTGCCTACTTTTCTACCGGCCGCCAATATTCACCTATGCGTACAATATCGATAACATATCACTGCTTACCTTTACGATCATCTGCAAATTATCTCTGTTCCCGATTGCAGTCCAGAGACTGGATAGGCCTGAGCAACATGCGACAGGAATTAATTACAGCTTCATTCTTCTACCTCCTGCGTATTTTTCATTCATACTTACCGTTGTTCGGGTTCCTCTTCTACCTCTCTGCTTATCGACGGCATTTCACGAGGATTCACTATCAGTGCCAGTATTGTCTGGGGTATCTACAGCGGAATGGCCTTGGCGTTTGGGTATCTCGTTCCTATTGGTTAAGGTTTACTTTTTAAATTTCCGCCACCTATTTCACCTCGAAAAAATTTACTTATTAACTGTCTAAACCTATTTTTTTTAATTTTTTTAACCTGCCAATGGTTTTTCCGTTTGCCCCACCCTTAAAACCCCCTTTTCCCACCCATCCCGTATTACAGGGATCTTCCTATCGGTTGCAGCATCCAGGCTACACACATTTGTCCTACCCTTCTTTCAATTTTATACTCGAAGGAATGGAATGATTCGGTTTTAAAATATTCTCTAATTGTCCGATTTTAATACCGTAAAATAGGCAGCCTGTTCACGAACAACGGCCTCATTCTTAAGAGAAGGTGAAACCGGAGTCAGTTGCGAAACAGGCAAAGGAAACAGATGAACTCTCGCCAGTTCGTTGAACGCAACGTCGTAGACATGACAACAGACCATGAAGTTCCGGTAAAAATGTCAAACTTCAAGGAAACGACTTCACGTCAATCTCCCCCTGGTTGACCATGTGTATAAATGCGGTTTCAAACGGACCAGCTGAAGTTATCTGACCGAAGGGTAGAACACCTGTTTGGCGTAACGAAAAGAAGCAACCGATGGGGAATTAATGAGTAAAACGCATGTCTCTCGAAATAGCTATTTCCAGTCTCTCTGATTAAACACACCAACTACATGAACCTCAGGGCAGTGAAAGGATGCTAAATGCATGGCCTGCTGAAACTCCCGAAGCGTTGATGGATACCTGCAAAATTTCCAATCAAGAGTTCAAAGCTAGTTGACAAGCATGGGACATAATCTTGGTACATCCAGACCGGCTGGCCACTGCCTCTATGTGCTGCCAAAACAAGTCAACAGGAAAAATGTTCCGTGGTGTTCGTGTCAAATTAAAAATAACGTACAGCCCACTTTGATGCCCCCTCAGCTCACCGACAGTTCGACCGTCGTTACCAACTACATTAGGTGGGCTAACTCATCAAATGTTGGCCGAAATTTCGAAATGCGTTCTCGTTTCGAAAATATTAATTAAGTAGGGTTGTAAAATTAATCACCTTCCAGCACGATTCTATACTGATCCAGTTACCTCAGGGTGCCTTCATTCGAATGGATTTATTTCCGAAAATGTCTACTTATGTGGTATGCAATTTTCTCATTTATTTCCGATGACCTTAAAAATTCAATTATATTTCATGAAAATCATAAACAGAAATGTTCATTCTTCTATTTTTGGTAGAAAATCGTGTCTTCTTTCAATTTTAGACTCAAAGATAGAGTATAATACGGTTTCAAAAAAGTTTTCAATTGTGAAATTTTTTGATACCGTGAAAGGACCGTTCATTAAACGTCATGTATCTGTATTTATTCGTATTTCTTGCAATGTTAACCGTAAGACTCAAATCTACTGCTAAATCTTATGAACCCCATATAGTCTCCTTTCAATATCGTTGAGAAACATATGGCTTTCGTATGCCGAAAATAAACGGCTTGTAGTTTGGAAACCCTGACTGCAAGCGGAATGGTAGGTCGAGTTCAAAAGTATTCGGAATTGGAAATGTTTTTAAATACCAAATTAAACCCTTTCTTCGAGTTTAAAATTGAAAGAAGACGTGCTTTGCTACCGAATGAGAAAAACGTGTGAATATATTTGTGCATGCTTTCCATGATGTATAATTTACTGTTAAATGTCATCAAACATCAATGAGAAAAATGTGCGCTAAATAAGAAGTCATTTTTTACAGAGTATTGTTCCTGCATGCAGCCGAAAAGAAGTTTGCTTAAAAGGCGGCATCCTGAGGTAGCTGAATTGTGATAGAATTATGCTGCATGATGTTTGGTTATACAACCCTACTTACGTCCTCTTTTAGAAACGAAAACGCATTTCGGAATTTCGGTTGACATTTTATGAGATAGCCCACCTATCTGCAACACTCGTTAAAGAGACTGAGTGGAATATGCCGCACGAACACTGAAGACAAGTAAAGATGTAAGCGAAACATGATGGAGAACACTGATTAACCGTCGGACAATTAGTGCGGACAGGGACTTCGGGGGATTCCTTCTTTTCAAGTTAAGCTGCTACGGGAATGCCACAGAATGGTCGTATTAACCGGGAGCTACCCGGTCTGACTCTCAGCTCACCAGACAGCCTCCCCAAGACACAAGACCGACTAAGAGATTTGATTTATCTCGTCAGTAGACTGCTATCCAAGCCACGACGATTAGCGCGTCGTGAAGGATTGATGCGCCTTAGGGTTATGATATTGTTAAATGCGATAGCGTACCATGAGGATGGGGTTCCTTCTCATCTAACAATCAATTGTCCGAACCAGTTTACAAAACAATTTTAAAGTAGAGCGCAAGTCACTGACAGAGCATGCCTCCTATGACCCGACTCCAACAAAATTCACACGATTTTACAGAATGGGTCTGGTGGGCTCAGTGAGTATGCCATGGTGGCCACACGAAGTAGGGACCATAAAATACTTGAGGGACGCCTATTCCGTCTATGCGGGGGTTGGGTGAAAGGGATCCGCGCGTAGTATATAAACGGGTGGAGAGATGTGTCGTGATGCTACTTGGTCTGATGTTATTTACTGCAAATAGGAATTTTTGGTAATCGACGGCATTTCAGTTGTGGACGCCAGCCAGCATGGATGGCTTCCATGCTGCCTATCGATCGACGTCGAATTTTGCGAACCGCGAGTCAAAGCAGAATATAAAATGGTACGCAATTCAGTTCTTTCTCTCGACGAATTTGCTCGCGAACTGTTGTATACAATCAACCCCCTCACATGTCGCGGAGGTTAAGAACCACAGATATCCGTAAATAGTCAAAGATCTCAAATTACTGAGACGCGTCTAAAAACGCTCTGAACGGATCATTTTAATGTTCTGATGCTTGATTGAAAACGACCTAACTTTAAAATGGAAAAGTGTTGCTAAGGGCACCCCTCTTTAGCTCATTACTTCCATTTTGATCGGCCTGCAGTTGGGGGTACTGTGATGACGCGGCTTGTCTTTTAGGATTAAATTTGTGCTTTCTGCCACCATTCGGTATGTGATAGGTTTGGAGTAGTGCTTGAACACAGGTCTGCTCGAGTCTGATCCCACCGCCCACCCTCCAGCCCCCATCTTCATGCAGTAACCGACCGGCGCTAGTAGCGTGATAGATACCTTTACTTCGGCGCCAAACGGTGTTTCGGATCATCATCCGGGGCATACTGGCGCCACTCAGTGATCTATCTGCACCACGAAATTGCTTGGGGTTGACATGTCGCCCAGGCAGTTGCGGCAGAACTCCAGTGATCGCAGCAAAATCAGTCTTCTTCAGTTCTCGTCAACCGGTGCTGGCCTTGTGCATTTTGTCTCCATGAACAGAATGTGCTTGTTTGAAACCGGCCCTACCTGACAATAGACAAGTGTCAGATCATGGCACTACTTCGCAGCTCATTCCCTTCTTTTTCATTGAGCCGGAAGCAGAGGCTTTGTGATACTGAGGCTTGCCTTTGAGGATGACCTGTCTGACATCCTTCGGTATCTGATGGACTCGAAGTAGTGTTTGAGCCTAAGCCTGCTCGACTTTGAGCCCCACCCTGCTCCTCCTTCCCATCTGCCTGAAGGAACTTGTCGGCCGATGTGGGCTGCTGGCGAACCTCCGGCGTCTGCCACCCAGATGACGTTTTCATCGTTAGCGATGGACCTGCCAGGCAAATCCCCGTTGACTCGGTAAACAGACTTGGTGGAATATGCTGCAACAACCTTGAAGGAAAAATATGCAAACGAAGCATGAGGGAGAACAATGACTAACCGGCGGACAATTTAGCCGGAGGGAGGCTTCAGAATAATTTCAGCTGTTCAAGTTAAGTTGTTGCCGTTTCCAGGTGAGCAAGCGCCGTCGTCTGTTTATCGGTTAACTCGTGATAAAATGGTAAGGCTAAGGAGAAATTTAGGTAGAAATAGTAACATGTAAGAAGTGATGACGACTGTCCAAACGACAGTGCGTGAAAATGGCGTGTTGATGTTGAGGTTGTTGACGCCAATCAGCATGGATGGCTGCCCATGCTGCGTATCTAATGACGTCGAAGCTTGCCAACCGCTAGTCAAAGTTGACTGTGGGACGAAATTCAACCAAGTTCTCCGTCTCTGAATTCACGCGTCAACTGTGTACTACAGTCCGCTCCCGATAGTCGCGGAGTTCAAGCACCACAGCTATCCGCATACGCTCGATATCCGCGAATAACTGCGACGCGTCTAAAAGCGCTCTTAACTGATTATTTTAATGTTCAAATGCCGGTTATAACTTAAAGTTTCATTCTAAATCATTTTAGTAGTATGTTTGAGGAATCTTACAACATTTACTCGTATGAATAAATGGCTTACAACTACGCGAGAACGCACCTGCAGTTGTTACTATTACCAAGGCAAAAATTAATCAAGGAACCCTTAGATTCACTACTCAGGAGTATTAAAGACTTACAGCTTTCGTATGAAATTCTACCGTCGTTGCCGACGATGTCCACCGTATGCTCCACAGCAAGGTGCAGACAGTCACGGTGACTCATGTGTAATTTCTTTCCATTGTGATAATGCACCATCGCAATGTCTGCCGCACACTCTCCATCCTTCCTTCTGTCAAGATTTTGATCGTCATGCGCAACGAGGACAATGAAGCAAATTTACAGGCAAACTTAGACCGACTCGAAAAATGGTCAGGCCACTGGCTCCTCCCATTTAATGTTACCAAATGCAACATTCTGAGGATTGCCAGAACTAGCTCTGCGCACCGGCAGACGTACTATCTAAATCACACACCCCTGCCATTGGTAGAGGGTCAGAAAGACCTAGGGGTGTGGATAACATCTTCACTAAAGCCATCATTCCACGACTTGAAATCAGCGAAATCCGCAATGTCCAGCTTATATCTCATTAAGCGGGCATTTGCCATGATCAACGAAGAGTGCTTTCGCAAGGTCTTCGGGATGTTTGTGCGCCCATAGTTAGAATTTACAATTCAAGCCTGGAAACTCTGGACTGTTAAGGATCGTACCACCCTCGAAGAAGTCCAACGACGGGCAACCAAGCTTGTCATAGGTCATCAAAACCTACCTTACGAAACTAGACTGTCAAATCTTAACTTCTTTCCCCTGGACTACAGACAACTCCGAGGCGACTTAATTTAAACGTTTAGAATGTTATGGGGCCAGGACTGCTGCCTTGCATCCGGTGACTTCTTTGAGCTGGCCACCACTACAAGCTTGAGAGGAAACCCTCTGAAACTACGTGTGACAGGAGCGAGACTGGACGCAAGGAGGTCCTTCTTCAGCCACAGAGTGGTAAAGGCATGGAAAGCCCTGCCTGTGGACGTCGTCAAGTCCTCATCTGTGGACTCATTTAAGAGAAAGCTTGACCAGTACAGGGATATGTACCTCCACAGCATCATAAACTAACGAATTCCCCCCTGTGCCACCCGCCCCATCCAACGTTGTATGTTAGAAAGCAGGCTACTCACTATATTTTAGTAACATTACGTTTTAGAATTTTCGCTATCACCTGACCGCCACATATGCGCTTTCTTTAATATTGCTTGGTCCATTCAGTACCGTATTGGATATTGTACAATTTTGACATAGAAGGCATTCATAGACAAATTCATGCCATTGATCAATGCTTGTTGTATGTACTTACTTAACTCATTTTTTTCACACTTGCCTTACACATTGTTTTTTTCTGACGTTATTGTAACCTCAAGGGAGTTCAAAGGCGCTCGCCTAACTTTCCCCTAATAAATCTGATCTGATCAAGAAGAGCGGAGGTGAAGGATGGCACAGTTTGGTGGCACGGCCTGACCCACACCCAGGCGTACTGTGGCAGTTCGCGACCTTCTTCCTCTCCGCCACTTTATCGCACTGCCCTCCTATCCGCCTCACAATCCCTATCGATACGCTGCCAGGACGCCCGAGGCTCATCACTAGCCTTTCAAGTGCTCGAGACCAATCAACGCTGCCCCCTCTCTGATTGGCTGGCGGACACCGAGGCAAAGCGAAAGGCGCACACACGCGCTGCAGTCTGATCACCTCAGCAGCGAACACAGATGCAACTTGCCTGGAGAGACCGCTTACGGTAACCGCTTGCAGGGCCTTTATGTATGCTCATCCTCAGCATTAACAGTTGTCCAACCCAATCCTTCTTCCTGACTTCAGATTTGTGAAACGTTGTCTTGTCGACCATGCCATCCCGACAGTGCCATCACATACCCCCGGGTCAACAACAAACTTCTTATCAGGTTTAAACTAACAACAGCACAATATCGAGTCAGAAAGAGGAGGTTAGCACAAGCCACTGAGCGACCGTGCATACATCGGGAGCGCAAGTGCATCCCCCGGCAGGCAACCAAGTGTGAGTGACCTGCCAGCACACAACGGGATGCAAGGACTATGGTTTTCTGACACATGGCATAGCGGAAGCAGGTGGATGGCAGGGTCGAGCTTCCGTCCTCGCGAGTTGGTCAACTCATTAAGTGAGCAGGATTTTATCAAGAGCAAAAATGAGGGAGGCGGCAGGGGTCCCAATGCACGCAACGTTTGCCACAAAGAGGTCTGTCACCGCACGCAATAAATTTTGGCCTTTGTTATGGTGTGCATTCCAATGACGCCTGCCGGAATCCGACATGGTCCCCGTGATGTCCCTGTGCGTCTAACAAGTAGTCCGTTTGAGTAGCAAGCACGGTAGTTCGACCGTTATTGTCGACGATGTCCACCGTGTACTCCACTGCAAGGTGAGAGCAGGGACGGTGATTTGCGCGTGAATTAGTTTAAAGTGATAGTAGACTTTCGCCACATCTGCCCCAATCCCTCTCTTATTGCTCCGCCGTCTCCTCCTCCTCCTCCTCCTCCTCCTCCTCCTCCTCCTCGATCTTCTCCCCTTGCTCATCCTCGTACTCCTCCATTAGTAACTTTAACACATCGTCTCTAATTGGTATCATGGAAGTTTTGCCGATTCTTCTCTGTTGATTTTCTCAACTTCTGAGATCATGCGTGCTGTAGAACGTGGATTCTCGATCTAAATTTTGTGGTCTGCAACCGATTGACTGATTCCCGCTGCACTTACAGTGAGAGGTAACCAATTGCGTGGTTTGACGCTTGCATGAAGTGGATCTTCGACGAAAATGCTCCTTACACACTCATCGACTCAAGATGAGAATAATCGGCGCTGATTTCCGGCACCGCTAAATTCGTGTTTAAACCCTAACTCGGTTGGGCGGCAGCTGTAGACAATACTATAAAGCGTGAAGATGATCCCTTTTTCCGGGTTAGAGAGTGTGCCCAAACTCATTTCCAAACGTTATAATACTCCTTTTCCATGCCAGTGCTCTTACTGAACGACTGGGTGATGGGGTCTATGCGCCAGAGGGTAACCCTCACTATGACCCAATTCATCTACTTGCCACAAGTGTTTCCTCATAGTACCTGTGGCCACCACCCTACTCGATGGTGAACTAAGGAATGCACAGTCGTCCTTTATTACGCTGTCTATCAGATGACCAACAGTCTGATCAGCGGACGGCCTGCAGAATCCCGAAATTCTCCATTTTCGCTGAATCACATACGTCCGCAAACCTGATGATTGAAAAGGACATTGATCGACGAGACATACCTTCTGCATAGGGTACATATTGCTTGAAGAGACACGCCCAAACATTCCCTGTAGTATTGAATCCAAGGAGGTGGTCGCATTCGAGGGCACGGTCTAGCGTTCCGTTACTGACCTACCATAGGAAAGGCTGCGAACTGTGCATTAAACCCCCTGTAGGGCATGAAATACGTACACCCTATTCTCCAGAATTATACTGTGTTGCAAAAATAGCTGACCTCCTAAAGAAAGCATACTTCGATTTATGCAATAATTTTTATTGCCTAAGCGATTCAGACTAAAGCCAACAGGTTTTGGCGATGGTCGACGGGGATTATTTGCGTCACCTTAAGGATGCTAGGGGTTCCCGGCAGTCAGCAAGTAAATTAGACGTGTTTCGCAACTCTCTTTAACTCATTTATACCAATCTCTAAAGGATTTCCCACCTATTTAATGCAGAGCTGTTGAAATGCTGATGTTTGGACCATCGAGGTTCATCTAGGCGGCCACAGAAGGCGTTTAAGTTGCTTTTTGGGACGGCGTGTTAACCGTCAAATAATAAAGGCTTCTGCTAACCCAGTGCGCATTTCGCCCAAAGAACAAATGCATATGATCTGGTAAAATAAATTTCCGTTTATTAATCTTTGTTTATTTAGGCTTTGGTGTAGTGTCGAACACAAGAGACGTCGCCCACTTTCAAAGTCTGTAAAATGGAAAACAAGGAGACTTCTGATGAGTTCGCAGCTGGGTGAAATTGACGCAAGACAAAACACGGAGAACATGCTGACTAAAACTCAATTAAAATCCCATTAAATACAGGTATGAAGTGAATACATAGAAGGCAAACTTATGCTCGCATAAATTAAAATTTAAAATATCTGATCGCAAATGCAAAATTTCAATTTCTGTGCCATTCATACATTTCTCAATCCCATTCTAGGACTGAAGCTATCGCAATTACAAGCTTTGTGAGCTGTCCAGGGGGCAATCATACTTCCCCAAGTCTACGCCCCATGCATTTCCAAATCGGCGGGCTCGCATAGAAGGCATTCTTAGGTAGCCCAGTCAGCCTGCAAGTCACCATTATGGTGCGTGTAACAATCTCCAGCAAGTAGCTACCGCGGTGCCGGCTGCAATTCTCCCTTCACCCATTGGCGGCAGCCCAGCGAAACTTAGGTGAATGCCCTGCGGCTGACACTGGCCTTGTGCGTGTGACAATCTCCAGTTGGTGGATCCCGCGACGCCGGAAGACATTCTCCCTTCACGGATTGTCTGCAGCCAAACAATACTTAGACGCATGCACTTCGTCTGACTCCCGCCTGGTGAGAAGACTTGGTGCGACTGCTTACTGAGCTGCGTGAACACTCCGTCTATCCATTCTATTTCCTGTCGTTTGATTTGCGAATCATCGACATTCCCAAGATGGCATGAGAACACTTCTGCGAAATCGGTGCTGATGCTGTTGGAGCCAGTTGGCACATCTGCAGCAAAATCCCGTCAGCTACATATATGGTGTAGAAACACTCTTTAGGTCTCACTGTTGATTGAAGGTCTTCGTCCTGGTATTATGTCCCTCGTGACCTCTAGACGGCGTTTTATAAGGGGGAAGTTGTGCATTCTTACGAAATCCCGCTATCGTCTATCATTTTCACGAAAAGACAAACTGACTGGTTTAGACTCACCATTGTTAAATTATTACCATCCACAACATTCTCAATGAGCATTACTTTGTCCCCTTCCTGATCAATTGTCAACTTGTTGCCTTCCAGTCTCATAGTCATCTACAAAGTATATGAACACAAAAAATTACCGTTTTTTCAACTAATTTATTTTGAATTTGCTCCGTCATCTCAGACATTTACTTTCAAACTTATCTGCGCAAATATTTGTGATGGTACACTCTGGGGATCTTTGTACTCTTAGCGAGATGCTAATGTATTATATATGTATATAGGCAGAATGCTATTACCGACAAAGACAAGGAAGACTGGAATGGCCATTTCTGGCTTATTAGCCGTCGTCAGCCAGCCATGCCCAAGCTCGAAGTGTGGAACACCCGAGCCTCGAACTCGCGACTTGTCGGTTTAGAAGTCCACGCATCTACTCACCGGGCCACGAGCCCGTTGCCCTGTCGGTTTTCGATCGGGAATAAACAATGGTAGGGGGCGCTAACCGATCGTTCATAAAGAACTCACTCGTTCCGTTGTGCATTAAGGGCTCTCTCTCAAGCCCAACCAGCAGCCGCACAGCGGCGCATGATAAATAGGCAGAATTTCTTTGTCGGCAATAGCATTCTGCTTATATATCATGCGCCGCTGTGCGGCTGCTGGTTGAGCTTGAGAGAGAGCCCTTAAGGCACAACGGAACGAGTGAGTTCTGTATGAACGATCGGTGAGCGTCCCCTACCATTATATATATGTATTATACCGTACTCCCGACATAGATAATTGCTAAAAGCCCAGACACGTATTTCGTCGATATTCTGCCTCTGCGTGACACAGCTGCTAGCGGTTCGGCTCTTCAGTGGGACCCCCAGCATTCTCTAGCGGTTTCTGGTATATGAACTCCAGAGAATAATCAGGGTAATACTTTCAGAAATTAATATATACATATATGTACATGCATTAACTCAGGAATGGGCACACACAGATCCTGTGATTTTCCGAGGCAAGCATGTTTCGCATGAGTTATGAATGACTAGGTGAAAGCAAAAGAGTCCGAAACATTTATATATGAATTTACTTCCAACATATTTCCTCTCCACTCTGACATATGCACATGCACATATGCATGCATACATATTAACTAAGTACGTATGGTTTAATGGGTTCCCAAAAGTGAGTGCAAACCAGTTCATCCTTTGAACAGCACCTCTCGCCAGAGTTTAATGGTCTGCTGTTATTAAATCTGGATACAGGGAATTGACCGTTGAACTGCTCTGCTCGAGATTAGTGGTGAGAGATAGCCTAGAGGACTGGCACGCTTAATAACACTAAGGTTACGTGGAGAAGATGTCTCAGTAATAACAAGCATAAAATATAAACGAATACTGAGTCTGAATCTTACCGTAACGGGTCGACCATCGACTGTAGTGTGTTGAAACTTCTCACCCAGCTTGAACGTTGTGTCGCGAGTCGTGGATCCCATTTTTACTTGCATGATGTGGTGGTCGGCGGCACCTGGGGAGAATGCAAGGGCCGAATTGGACATTTGGGCCAATTTTTCTTTGGGTATTTCGGCACCCAGGCGTTGAGCTAACACACTCACGTCATCACTGCTTTCCAATTTCCACGACCCATAGAAGGCTTGCATGCTGGAGTAGCTTCAACGGAGACAGAGGATACGACGTCCTGCACGGTGTAATATTCAGCTGCTCAATATATTACCAGATGGGCCTGCAGCGACAGAGGGTGCGGGATGCTTGCACGCTGATCGAGAGTGATTTTGCGTCCTTGAATCTGGCGCCACCGGCATTGTGGATCGTCATCCGGAGTATATCGGTGCCACGCAATGATCTGTCTGCACCGTAACATTAAGGCCGCAAGTAGCCCCGACAGTTGCGACAAAAAGCCAGCAGTCACAGCACAATTAGTCTGAATCAGTCCTTGTCAACCTGTACTGACCTTGTGCATTCAATATCAGTGAGTACGTTGTGCGGGTATGAGAACGATCTTTTTTGACAATTGACACGTGTTAGCTCCCGGCATTACTTCGCAGCTCATTACCTTCTTCTTCTTTCAGTAAAAGGCTCTTAGATACCGTGGCTTGCCTTTGAGGAAGACCTGTGCACTTTATGCCTGATGCTTCTCCTCCTCCTTCACCTCCTGCTCCTCTTCCTTCTCCTTCTTCTTCTCCTCCTCCTCCTCCTCCTCCTTCCCATCTGCCTACAGGAACTGGTCGGTCGATGTGGGCTGCTGGCGAACCTCCGGCCTCTGCCACCCAGATCACGTTTTCATTGTTAGCGATGTGCCTGGCAGGCAAATCCCCATTGACTCTTGGTGTATAACTCGGTAAAGAAACTGGGTGGAATATGCTGCAACAGTCGTGAAGAATAAAGTAGATGTAAGTGAAACATGATGGAGAACATTGATTAACCGTCGGACGGGGGCTGTAGTTGACTGTGGGCCTTCCAAGTTAAGCTGCTACCGGTGTTTCGCAAAATATGAGCGGATGGCCGTGTTAACCAGGAGCTACCCGATCTGACTCTCAGACCACCGACAATAGAAGCTCAGCTCGCCAGTCAGCCTCCCCAGGACACTAGACCGACTAAGATATCGAATTTATCTCGTCTATATCAACCGGCACATTGAGTTGGACGCCGCGTACAAAAGTCTGAAGGAGAAGTGGAAGAGACGAGAGCCAATCAGAACAGAATGACGCAGATAGCGACCAATCACTGGCTCAAGCGCCGAACAATTATCGATTTCAAGTGCACTGCGAGATGTTAACTGTTGTCGGCACATTTGCTCTCTATCTGCGTCTGACGATGAGCTGGGGAACCAGCGTCGAAAATTCACGCAGTAAAACTCCATGTCCCAAAGAATACCATTGACTCCAACTCAGATTTATTGGGATGCCTACCTTCCAGTACATATATATATATATATATATATAGATCAGAGGTGGTATATATATATATATATATGAAAGAAGAAAGTCCGTCGGAAATAGAGTTTTACTCGTAAATTTTCGAGCTGGTTGCACCAACCCGTCGTCAGACAAAGTGAAAAGTGGGAGGTGGCATTGTCACACTGCTGGTTGAGGACGCAGACAGAGAGGTAAGCAGACAACATTGAGAGAGGGAGGTGTGCATTGTGTTGTGATAGGTGCGGGAGGTGAGGATAGGTGTTGTGAGTCACGCGAAGAAGCAAAAGGGGACATCCTCCCTTTTCTTGACGTCAGTGTACAAAGACTGACTGATGGCAATCTCGCAACCAGCGTCCACAGAAAAGACTCCAGCGCCGAAATCATCCTCAACTACGGGAGTAATCATCCTGCGGCCCACAAAAAAAGCTGCGTTCGAACTCTTTTTCACCGAGCCTTTCGGTACTGTAGCAGCCAGTATCTACTTAAGAGAGAGCTAGCCTACTTATACCAATTATTCCGATCTAACGGATATCCGATTAGCTTCGTGAAAAACTGTCTCAGACGTCAGAGGCAACCACAAGATCAGACTCCAAGTGGAGAAGCGACACAGAAGAAATATTATTCCCTGCCCTACATGCGAGGAATTTCTGAAGTGATGGCCCGACAACTAAACCGGTTTGGCATCTGCATTGCCCACAAACCGGCGTCCTCCTTACGCGCAGCACTATCCCGGGCAAAGGATCCCATACCCAAAGAACAACAAAGTAACGTCATTTACCGCATCCCGTGCGCTAACTGCCGTTGCGTTTATATTGGTCACACGGGTCGACAACTTGGGACTCGCATTAATGAACACAAGTTAGCTATCCGCCGACGCGACCCCTTATCCCTCGTGTTCGCCCACGCTCTTGATTGTGACCACCGTTTCAATTGGGACGGTGCCGAAGTGGTCGCCATGGCTAACACTAGACATGCACGGGAATTCCTCGAAGCTTGGCACTCCGGTGCAGATAGCATTAACCGCCATGTTGACCTTGACGTTCACTACGAGTGTCTCCGATCACGGTGGACTGACTGGCGCCCACCTTAAGAACAACAACAGCTAATGCGTGCCCGGACATGCATGATCTCGCCGACACGCCATTCCTACCACCCTGCCCTACTCCCCCTCCCTCCCCCAACACGGTGAGCCACAGCTTGGACCCACAACACCTATCCTCACCTCCCGCACCTATCACAACACAATGCACACCTCCCTCTCTCAAGGTCGTCTGCTTACCTCTCTGTCTGCGTCCTCAACCAGCAGTGTGACAATGCCACCTCCCACTTTTCACTTTGTCTGACGACGGGTTGGTGCAACCAGCTCGAAAATTTACGAGTAAAACTCTATTTCCGACGGACTTTCTTCTTTCATCATATCACCTCGGAATTCATACCACTTCATATATATATATATATATATATATATATATATATATATATATATATATATATATATATATATATATATATATATATATATATATATAACGGATGTAGTATGCATTCCGAGACGATATGATAAAAGGAGAAGGCTCGTCGGAAAATCGAGGTATACTCGTGAATTTTCAAGTCGGTTACACCAACCCGTCGCCTGACGAAATGGAAATTGTGAGGGAGATAATTGCACTAGGGAGCTGGGGGGACATCGAGGCTACACCGACAGAACAGACGTCTATGTGTAGGGATGAAGTACGTGTTTGGATAGGTGACGGATGTTAGGGGAAGTGTTGAGGGTTCCACACATGGTTCACTCAGTGGGGGAGGTGCTGAATCCGTGATATTCTACATGGCCGAACACGGATTAGCAGCTGGTGTCTTAAGGTGGGCGCAAGCCGGCGGACTATGAACGCAAACCCTCGTAGTGGGCAACCAAGTCGACGTGGCGGTTGATGCTTTTATCATTAGAGTGCCACGCTTCTTGAAACTCTCGCGCCTGTTTGGTGTTGACACTAGCGACCACTTCAGTCCCCTCCCAGTTGAAGCGATGATCACACTCAAGGGCGTGCGAAAACACGAGAGACTAGGGTTCCCGTCAACGGATGGCCGACTTATGTTCGTTAATGCGGGTCCATAGTCGTCGGCCGATATACCCAACATAAACGTTAGAGCCGTTTGCACATGGAATGCAGTAAACGAAATTTGTTTGCTGCTCCTTCGGTATGGGATCTTTTACACGGGATAATGTCGTGCGCAATGAAGACGCCGGTTTGTGGGCGATGGAGATGCCAAACTGATTTAATTGACGAGTGATCGCTGATACCCTGCCTCCGTTAGATTCAATGCTTTGTAGTTGTTTCTGGCGTCAGAGACAATTTTTTACGAAACTCACCGGGTATCCGTTGAGTCGGAAAAGGCGATACAAGTAAGCCAGTTCTTTCTTGAGTAAATCGTCCCTTCTGCAGTAACGGTAGGCCCTATGGAAAAGAGCTGGGTTCTGGGTGGTTACTCTGATAGCTTAGGATGATCTCTGCGTCGGAGCTTTTCCGATGAACGCTTGTTGCGATGCCGCCTTCACTGAACCTTTGTATGCTCACATCTAGGAACGGAGGATGCTTCCTTTTGCGCCTTCACGAGTGAACTGTAGCTCTGGGAAGGCGCCATTCAAGCTATGATGAAATCGCCCAGCTTCACAGGTCTTAACGATGACAAATATGTCATCTACGTATCCGAGCCACGTTCTCGGTTGGAAACTTTGTACATCTTTTTCTAGTCGTTGTAGGACTAATTCTGCGAGTAGCCCCGAAATTGCCGAACCCAGTTGGGTGCCCTTAACCTGTTGATAATATCGGCCATCGAATTGGCAATAGTTATTGAGGCAGAGCTTAAGCATTTCTAAGACCTGGTGTGTCGGAAGGTCGATGGCATTGTCTCGTAGGCGTCGGGCCACGCTCTCAATGGGAAGATCATGTGGTATTGAGGAAAACAAAGCGACAAGATCAAATGATAGAATGCTTTCATCGGGACTTATTTTAAGAATGACGCCTTCTCATCGCCACAATTCACTCGTGAAGAAGCAAAAGGGGGCATCCTCCCGTTCTTAAATATGAGTATACAAAGGCTCAGTGACGGCGGCAGGTTTGAAAATTGTAAACAGTACTTAACAAATTTTGGGGTTCAAGAAAGACATTATATAAGAGTAGAGACTTAGAATCTCCTTTAGCCATTGGCTGAAGGGGGGTGGAAAAGAAGAAGACAAAGGGGAGAGGGAGAAAAACAAGAAAGGTAGACGGAGAATAAAATAAAGCGAGAGGAGGAGGAGGAGGAGGAGGAGGAGGAGGAGGAGGAGGAGGATGGGGCACTCCTTAGCGTTTCCACTGTTTGTCTCTTGAGCTTTAAATACTCTTGCCTGCAAAGGCAGTCGTTTTCAGTAAATGATACACAATAATATCCGTCGATATCCTTGTGGACAGCAGTCATCTTGCCGACCATCACAGTGATTTTAACTGAACCGACAAGGACTTTCGTGCACTGATGAGAGAGTTTTCTGGTCCAAGCACGCCGTAATACATCTACGATGAGATAAAAATATGCTCGCACTCCACGTTGCATTTGGCAATTTTGATGATTAGTCATATCACTACACGCCTGAAATATCGGAAGACCATAGTGTATGATAAAGCCGTGTTCGCTGATGAGGTTTAAACGCGCCTTTGCAGCTAATCCTGCAGCGATATGGAAACAGT